CCCTTACCCCCTTCCCCTTTTCACCGGATCCGCAGCGGACAACAGTGGCTGAGGTGCGGTGAGGCTGTGGTCCGACAACAGCTTGACGACAGACCCGCAAAGAGTTTGCCTTGCTAATAGCGGTGGCGGCAGCAGCGGCGCCCGACGACACTGCTGCTGCTGCTGCTGCTGAATAACAAATGGCGAGCCTTCTCATTTCCCGTCCGAATTAAACTCCCGTGCAGTTATATTCGCCGCTTGCTTTGCGGTGGTGATTATGTTAATCCCACGTCTCGCGATCCACTTCGGAGCCGTCAGCGCCAACAGCAGCGCTCGCTGTATGTAGACCCGCCCTCCGAGTCACCATCGCCGCCACCGGGGGGCCTGGGGGAGGGGGGCACGAGGTCCGGCTGCACCCAGAAAAATAGTTTCTTGATTCAAGTGCAAGCTGACACAAGATAAATTTCACCATTAAAACAAGGCAATATTGTCTTCGGAATAAGATTTTTCTCTTATTCGAAAGAAAATATCAGTCTGTTACAAGAGTAAATTTGATCTCGTGTCAACGTGCACTTGAAATAAGGAAAAATTTACTTGAAACAGGAAACGATTTTTCTGGGTGTGGGCAGGATGCGGCTCACTGGAAATGACGAAGATCATTGGGGTGAGGCTATGGCGACGCTGAACGTATAAAGCTCATCATCGTCGTCGAGGACCTCATCAAGGAGAACCTCGTCGTCTTGTCAACCCCCCGCGGATATGATGATAGCCCCGGGTCGACAGTTGACGGTCCTTTCCATCCTCAGAGGCAGAAAGCAAAAATATTTGCGGTCGCCACTGCAAAAACTTTTGGCTTTTGATTACTAGAATGGTGTTGTTCAGTCTGCCCCCGTCGACGTTCTGGCGTGCTGTCTGAGTCATTAGACGCTCTACCCAAACACATCAGATTATATACATCAGGACGTTGGGCTGTTCTATGCTTATAACTCAGGGGGTGGCCTGACCAACACTCTAGTTACAACAACGAAAGTCCTTTTTCTCCGTGAGCGGACGGTACACGACGCGACCTCCGCGGCGCACTCGATACCCACCAGCAGTCCAGCAGGCACGCTCCTGTCCGCGTAAAGGTTTATTGTATCCCTCGGCACCGACTGACACACTGGCACGCGGACACTCGCGGGCACGCGGACACGCACGCGGGGCGTAACGGCGCGGAGGGCAGGAGGCGCAGCGCGGCGGCGAGGGGGCCGCGGCGTTGTCGGCGTGGGCCTTCGAGCCGCACTGGCGGGCGGCCCCGGCGCTGCGCCACCCCGGCCCACCACCCTCGCGCCTCCCCCGTGGAGAGGGGGAGAGAGAGAAGGGAGAGGGGAGGGGGCGCCGGACCGGCGCGGGGCTGCTCCGCTCACCACCAAAAGCGTCAACTTCCACTGCAGCAGGACCGCCGCGCCGCGTTGGAACGAACAGTAGTACTAGCACTCATTGCTGTAAGTACACCGACACGCCAATACTACAGCACTGCGATTCGGCCAACAGAGGGGGGAACATTTAAACGTCCGTGATTTGGTCGAGTGTTTAGGTCATCACGGTAGTGGTGGGCGTAAAGGTCGGACCATTTAGGAAATATGGTTAGGTTCCAGCCGAGCCACGCTCTCTTCGTGTTTTATCTAAATCACACAATTGCGCCGTATTGTGCGCGAATTCACCGGAAAACACAAAGGTGGCAAGTACTATATAATCCCTTTACAAAGGCCTCCTGAAAAGGCATGAAAAGCAACCAAAGGTGCTACATTTTAATACATGCGGACGTTTTTGTACCTTTCCCCGTTCCGTTGAAATTTAACACCCCTAGGAAAACATTAATTCCTACTTTTATTTTCCAGTGTTTGGTATAGTTTCGTCAACAATACAGCTCCGCTCCATGTCTATCAAAGCAGCAATTATAATCAGTACCCAGAAAAATATAAATTCTTGATTGAAGGCAAATTCCGGCGTGAAAAAGTTTCTTTGAATTAAGAAGTAAAAGTTGAATCAAGAAAATCGACTTGGAAAGACCACGCCAAGACTGCTGTTTTCGGGCGTATATCATTCCACCTCAAATACCCAAAACGTAGATAAGTCACAAATCTTTGAACGAGTGACACGTTGACAACACCTGCGCACTCGTCGGGCAGCAGCAGCAGCAATAAAGCACGCGAGCCAACGAGGGGCCTTGGTCCAAATCGAAGCCCGAGAAGGCCGAGTGGCACGCCGCCTAATGCCGTGGGCGGGGCGGGGCGCGGCTTGGCGTGGCGCGGCGCGGGTAACTTTCGACAGAGTGTCGCCCGCACCTGTACACCACGGCGGCGCTGATTACACAGTCGAGACGTCAAGAAAGATGCAACGACTGACATAACTTTTTCATAGAAAAAAAAATGAATGAAAAACTGGGGTTGCAATTCTTCGAGGAAAAAATTGTGCTCTTACAACCACAGTGGGTTTTTTTTCTTTTAAGATATATTGATGAAAACTAATAACAGTCTGCAGAGTGATTTTTTTTCTTTCTTTTTTTTCATTTTTACACGCCGTGTATGAATCCGAGCCTTCACACAAGGACCACGCGCGCGACCACCCCCTCGCGCTAGTGGGTTCAAATCCCATCCCTTCCGATCGAGCGATTCCTTTTCCCGCTTTTCCTCCTCCCCACTTTTTTATTTAACCCCCGTGCCCCTCAGTGGTGGTGCGAGGCTCCAACTACCTCGCATTTTAATTACAGAGCGCGACTCTCCCCGGCGTGCGTTCCATTGGGGG